GAACATTTCAGAGTCCACTTCGCGTGGGCCTGCAGGCAATGCAGAGAGCCCTACCCATAAGTACTTTTCGAGCGCAACCACCATAAAGGCTACATACCCAGACGTTTCCAAGGAGCCCACAGGCAAGGGCTATTCCCCTCTAAGAAGTACTGCTAACACAACCGAGCCTGCAGGCAGTGCCAATGGGTCTGCAAGAAGCAGTGGAACAGTAACAAAACCGTCTGACTACGGCACGGAGAAGGCAACGAATAATAATTACTCAGTAAAAACGAAAAATACGGAGAAGACGGAGCCTGGTAGCGGTCCTGCGGGATCTAGCGGTGGGAAAACCTTGAACAACGAGTCAAGTTCCTGGGTCAGATAAACATGCGTATAGTCCTAAGGTGTCGAGTGAGGGCAACAATGGCTCGACGAGGCAGAACACTTCGAATGCGCCCGGGAGTGGGGGCGCTTTCGAGCAATCTGGTGGTGGCACTAATCCACCAAAAGAACACCCTCATGAGACAGCTGAAACTACAGGTGGGTCTGGAAGGTCTATAAGCAGCGAGCCTTCAGTAACAAACAACACACGCGATGCGGTTCCATCCAACAAACATCACGCTGTAGATGGCCTGACTACGGAAAGCACTACTGAAACAGAAAACCGTCAAGGTTCTGCGGGATCCAGTCGGCAAGGAGCAACAACAAACGCCTCTGCCAATGAAGGTGAGTAAAGGTCTATCTAAGAGAAAGTAAGGGTCTCAGGAGGCTCCCCGCGCGGCTTCGCAAGTGGCGTCACGGGCTCGACTTCGCTCTGAATGGCATCGCATCCTGTCAAGCTCACATCCGTCCACGTGTGAGTGCTAGAAGGGGGACAGTTACATAGAGACCCTTTTCTCTTCTTTGTGCTGCTGTAGTTGGGAGGAGGCGACCGCGCCCAGTGCCTGTTTTTCTGAGCCCTGTCACCGAGGTACTGTGAACCCGATTCTCCGTTCCCACTGGTGTTATCATTGCCTCAGGGCGCAGTCGTGCAAAGAATATGAGCCGCCGACTGCTTACGCTCGCCTTCATCCCGACTACAGTACCGCCCTCCTCATACCCTTTTATTGTCTCGGTTATTAAGTCATGATTTATCCGTGTAGGTGAGGAAGGCACAAAATCAGAAATAAGAAAGGCAATGAACAAGTTGGGTTCCTTAAATCATGCCGTGAAGTTGGAACGAAGTGACGTAGACCTTACATTCTTATTGTTTTGACGGTAAGTTGCTACAGTGAGCTCAAACGGCTAGCTGGGTACTATGCGTGTCTGAGCACTAGCGGCGCGGTGAGCCTCTTGACCCACACATACAGTGGCGGCCAAAAATCAATTAACCAAGGGTTTTTTTTAATAGTTTTCTCTTTTGAAAGTCACTGAATCTCCCCCAAATTCGCACCACTTACTCAGTAAGTAATTTCTAATCCACACAAAAAATATTACGCTTTTGCTTAAAGCAAGATTTCTCGAGATTTTCGCCTGCCTTCAATGAATTCGAAAAGCTATTTTTTGACTGCGGCTTGAGCTCAAGCTTAGCTGATTTTATGTGGATTAGAAATCACTTACTGAGAGACTGGTTGAATTTTGGAGGCGTCCCGGTCGTTTCAGAAGAGAAGTTCTCAGAAAAATCGTTTGTCAAATGACTTTTAGATTTACGTCCTTGTTTTCTTATGTCCCATATGTCTTTCTCCAGATCTCCTGGAATTTAATTGATGTTCGCCTTCTCCGGTGTTGTTCTCCTTCTATTATTATGTACATTGAGCCTTCGGAATTGAACCTCCATTACTGACCCCACGCTTGCTCTTAGACGACTCGAAACCTTTCGTTTCCCAAGGACTCCGAGTTTTCCTCAGCCGACGCTTGACACTGTTCGCCCACTGGCCGTTCTGCTGAGTGGAAAAAATTTGCCGCTAGTTGATGTCTATAGAGGGCCCCTTAGAGCTGATGCCCTCATGCCTAGTTCTGTCCTTAATTCCTCAAAGGGGCGTTTAAACAAATTCCAGTGTGTATCCTTGGCCACAGTGAAAACACCCCTGTGAGAGGGTTTCGATATTGCGGCACATTCAATCGGCTCGTGAAATCCGCGCTCTTCCACTTCTGCCATCTTTTGTATTATGAGTGATGCTTGTGGAAAAGAAAAAAAATGGTTTCTCACCCCTTCCTGGTACTCATCAGTCGCCTCATGATCACGAACAGCTGACGCTTGAAAGTCTTCGTCAAGAGGTGTTGCGGCCAGAAGTTTGCCTTGGAAGTTGTTGAGGGAGTTTCACCTTCCTCATCCCTGATCCTGAGCTCTCATAGGAGTGGATCTATCCGTGAGGTGAGTTGAAGTTACACCTCGATGTGCTGATTTCTCTGTCGAATGCCAGTTTTGAGAATTGCTGAGATTGCGATCATTACTGAAATCGCTGTTTCCATCAGAGGGGTTCTCATTGGATCCAAGACGTCGTGTAGGGGTGGAGGTCTTATTCGGGCCATTATTATCGGACCCTTGGGAATCATTACGACCAGTTTCATTGGTAGCGTGCTTCAAATTTTGAGTGATTCATACTATCTGTTCGATTGGAAGCCGGGCATCCCTTTGGTCGATGAGTGTACTGGATAATGGTTGCGTAAGGTACCGTTTGCCAGGGATTCTTCGCGACCGCTTCACCACCAGTAGCAGCAGTAGCCTTCGTCAGCTGTGAATGATTCCCGATATGAAGCCTACTGGAACTGTCCTTCTTGTAACTCAAAGAAGTAGCCCCCACAAGTGTAGGGTAATTTTTGACAGCAGATGTCATAGATGAGTTTTGGTCCATGGCTGGCTCTGAGGTCTTCCTAGTTCTTGAACTGCGTTCTCGAGTGGTCCCAATGTGGCCTGAACCTTCATTGCTCGTGTCGTCCAAACCCGTTTTGGGAAGTGCTTCCGACGCCCGTTTCCACCCTCCCTCGAATCGCGTCTCTTTGCTCCTCTTCACCATCTCAGCGGTCAGGTTCTTCGACGAGCCGCTGGATTATGTCTTTCGGATGTGCGTTGCTCTTGTTAGACGTTGTCGCGGACGTCCCAGTGGCCTCAGAGCGTCTGCTCGCCTACCTATAAAGTAACGCTTTCACCAGTGAGTGGACGACTAGGTGTAATAAATTTCTCTGCAGGATTAATTTAATGACAAAATTCGCGATAGCAGATGTGGGGTGTAGTGATGAGTTCGAAAATGAAGCAGCAAGTGCTTTTGACTTGCCAGTGAAGAAGAAGGGAAAAGATGCCGCTAAAAACCGTTACAAGTTTGTCCTAAAAGGTACGATAAACTGGGAACGAATGAAAGTGCCCTATGTGAAGGGAGGGTAAGCCCCAGAGGGTAAAATGGCCTTCTGGATGAAGAAGGCCTTCAGCAGCGGCGTGCGGAACAAGGTTGTTACCATCCTCTGATGCTTTTTTGTGTCTCCGCCGCATTTTTATTTGAGTGGTGTTATCCCTAGCACCATCCACTTTTCGTTCACTTGTCAACATTCATACGATTAGTAGTGTGCACATGTTTTTGTTCAGTGACATTTTTCCCATACTACTTCTTCAAAGAGCCCTTATTACTGATGGGCAATATGATATAACAGAAGGAAGTGTGCCTCAATTATCATTTCGGGGCCCCTGATTAAGTTGTTTTTGTTGCTTCCAATTTTTCTTATTTCTCCCTTTTTCCCGCTTTCTAATTTAATTTATATGTCAGTTGATTGTTTTTTTTAATACGTCACATTACTACATTTATTACCTCTCTGGCAACTGATGAAGATAAAGATAAAGATAAAGATAAAGATAAAGATAAACCCACTGCGTATCTCTTGTTGTTAATCTTGATGGACAAAGGCAGGTAGAGCAGAGAGTTTTATGTTGAGCAAGCCTGTGAAAATCATCTTAGGCTTCTATCAATAAGCGAAAAAAAAAGCAGCTTGTTCTGCGGTTATGGAAGTATCTTGGCGCATTTCACAACAACAGCCATTTATCACCGACACACTTTCGTTTGCAGTGGCGACGAATTGATTCGCCACAAAGTGCCTCCTGAGTCTTCTATCCTGGGAATTGCAAGGACCTACAGAAAGAGGCGCGGCCTAAATCGGAGCGTCAGTCGAACAAGGGACGAGCAGGAACTTAGGGAGCAAGCAATGTGGGGGCGATACCGTAGAATCCATCTGTGATGCCGCAGCTATGGTGTCCTGACCCCAGGGGGAGAGCTGAACGTTTCTCCGGAAGGAGGACTCTACGATACGGTCGGAGGTCGAATAGGTGAAATGTACCCAGTGGGAAGGTAGGCAGCTCCCAAAGGTGCGATACGATGTTGAAGTGTTTACAGTGGGAGGGGGGCAAAAAAACAGGTCACTTTGCCTCCAATTCAAAAACGGCAAATTAACTAACACGCCTGCGAAACCAAATCAATGAGCCCAACTGGATGATCAAAAGCACATTCTGGTCTATCAAAGTCGTTATATAAGAGCCTTCCACACCGACGACGGAAGATTTTCCCACGGAAAAATATGGTTACGAGCGAGCGAAGTGATACGATTTACGAGCTCACGAGTTCCTCTGCTAATGGTCTTAAAGCAACAGTTCAGGGAGGGTCCGAAAATTTCAATGCCACTACTACTGAGGGATACACGAGCCCTAGTGAAGAACATATGCAGTGGAAATAATAAACGAACTTACCTCAGAAACTCAAAAACAGGGTGGAAAGTCCCTCAAACATGGGTGTTCTTGGGGATTTCCCCAATCCCGCCCCCTTGCCGGCCGTCATTGGACGCGTCGGCAATCGTGCTCGTTTTGGGACCACAGGGAAAATTGATTGAAAAATGGAGCGCGTTTACAGCGGGCACGTTCAGACAACTCGTCCAACGTGCGTCTTTATCCATTGCTGAGCGGCAGAGGGAGAGTACCTGTCTAAGACCCTCCCCGACGTTTTTTTCCAGTTTTTCATACATTAATCGTCTGGTTTTCATCTACAACTTCATTATTGGTGGTTTTTTCCCGCGAAACCGTTCCTGAACTGTTGCTTTAAGGGTCGCTGAAACGCTTGGCAAAAGCAGTGCCTAGTATAGTCAGTAGTGTCAGTAAGATCTGCTTGGCCGAGTTAATCGATTTGAAGAATTATTTGTCGCAGCTCAGGCCGGAGCTACTATGGTAAGCTCATTCCGACCGCTGACGGCAGGATGAAGTCATAATCCTGAATTGGGAGGCAGTGTAAGGATGGCCTGGTTCTGCTTTTGGGGAGACACCTAATGGATTGGTATTGCCGTTTATCGCGTTCTATTAACGACGGCATCTGCTACGAAAGATTGATATGATTTGCTCTGGAGGTGAGGGGACTCTTTTTTTTCGTCCCCCCCCCCACTGGTTATGTAACCATGTTTTAAGAGTACACACGTGTTATCATTTTTCCCACCTGTTGTCCCACAGCGGAAACGTTCTGGTGATAAACCGTTAATGTTAATGTGGCTGGCTTGCATGAGCGAGTATACCCACCGCCAGCAAGATAGTTATCGCGGGTTCGTTTGCGCCGCTGCGCTGCACCGCTCAGACAGCTCCGTCGACTCTTGCCGCTCTAGGCAAAGAGTACGTTGGCCGTTGGAAGAGGGCAGCACCGATGAAAGTTGGGTCAATGCGGAAATCAACAGTGAGAGAAGGGGCCATTACCTGCACCACTGACTACCTCTCCCCTTGATTTC